GGGTTGGGGGGGTTGGGGGGGTTGGGGGAGGGATGACACGAGGAGCCTGTCAGCAGGAAGCTCGCATCAGCTGCCTGTGTGAGCCGTGCACAGAGGAGGACCGAGAGTGGTGCGGCAGCGACTGTATGCGTGGGCGAGAGCGACACGCAGTTCCTTGGTCTTCTGGCTCAGTTCGCCACTCCACGCCCACTTCCACTCGCCTTGGCTCTTCCTGACCCGACCACGCACGGCTCAGCACGGCAGATGATGGGCGGCGGCGGTACACGTAAGTCACGTCGGGAAAATCGCACAATTTCGTCCATCCGAGTCGGCCGGCTGCTTGCTCTTGACCGTGCGCTTGGCCTCGACTTCACTCCGCCCAACCAAGGCGCGCTAAGCTTGGACCCTGGCTTTTTGCACTTGCCGCTAGCCGACCGACCATCAATAAGAATTGATTAGCGATCTGAAGCATGCCCTACCGACTCGACCCAGCTTCAACCAGCCGCACCCGCTCGTCGTCACAATTAGAGGCCGCCATCACGTAGCGGCCTTCAGTGCAGCGCTTGCCAGCGGGCTAGGCTGCCTCATTGTCTCGTCGTCTTCCGTTCTGTCGCTGGCTCATGTCAAGCTCCCGCTGCGGCAGGCCGTAAACAAAGGAATAATCTTGCCGCCTGTCATCCGAAAAATCACTGCGAGCGAAACGCTTTTCCCCCATTTTGCTGACGATACTTTGTGGCTCCTCGCAAGACCTTGCCGGGCGACTTGGTGTGCTTTGCAGTCCCGAAGCGGTCCGAAAAAGCGATGTGATTGATCAAAAGGCAGCACCGATTCGGATCAAGGTTCTAGGCGGACCGAGTGAGAAAGGCACCGTTGCAATCCGGAAGCCCGCTTAATTGCGCTCCTCGGTTTTCGCCTAGACGCCATTTGCTCCTCTTCCCCTCCACGATGGCCGACGTCCGACATTCAAGCTCGACGTGTATGGTATCAGCTGGCATCATATCCTCCAACTTTGATACCACACCGCTTCCACGCCGGTGCAGTCTCAGCGTTCCGTTGCACCAAGGAGCCCAACCTAATTTTCAATGCCGAATCCGGTCTTGCGGGCTAAAGTCGGCATTGCGGAAAACATGAAAACCTTGCAGCTCGTGATTCTCTCACACATCTTGATTCTAAATTTTGCTCCCAACTTGCAAGTATGAAAGCTCCGTTGCTCGACGCTGTGACCCGAGGAAGCAACAGCGTGGGGGAGACAGAGTGGCGAGAGTGTAGCGGCCAAAGCAAACGCTCGGCGTCTTTCGACACGTCGCATTTTTCAGAAGCTTTTCTTTGACAAAATTTATGTCCTTGCAAAAGCGGAAATGAAATTCGACTCGCAAAAAAGTCGCCTCGCCATCCAAGACTTCCTCGTGCATGCGGAACAGCCCCCATCCCGAAACCCAATCGTCACAGTGCGGGCATTGTCGTAGCCGGTATCAAAGTGGAGTCGCACGAGAAATAGTACAGGTGGTGTTACACAAGCAAGCGGAAAGAGAAGAACGTACACAAGGGGACGCTGCCTTTGCACGGCAGAGCGCCACTACGAGGCAATCGAATCGAATCAAACAGCGACACGTCGAGACAGACAGAACCGATGAG